CCACACTCTTGCACTTTCCCGCTGGCGGCGCGCAGGGTGCCCCCTGGCACCAGCCCCGGGGAGCTAGCCGCCCCCGCCCCGCGCCCCCGGGCCCGGCCGGAGCAGGCTTGGTGGCGAGGAAGGAAATCCGGACTCCGCTTTGCTGGATGCCACTGCAGCAGCGGGCAGCCGGGAAGGCGCCCACAGAGCGGGCGCGCCGAGCGGGACGCGCGAGTCGCCGAGGGGGACCCCGGCGCCTGCGGGGCTCCGCTGGCAGAGTTTGCAAGTGGCCGAGACCCCCTCAGGTAAGGGCCGAGGCGCCCGGGGCCGGGGAGAAGGGCTCCGGGAAGGGGAGCGGGGGAGTGGGGGGGGGGGGGGGGGGGGGGTGGCGAGCTGCCGCCAAAGGATTCCTGTCCCCGATCTGGGCTTCCAGGTCCAGCCGCTTCCGCGCAGGCTGGGGGCTCAGCGCCCGGGGCCAGGTGAGGAAGGAACCCGGAGTGGCGACAGCCCAGCGCCGGGTAAATGACAAACTTTCTCTCCTCTGGAGGAGGGTGGGACGTTCCGGCTCAGCCAGGCGTCCTTCCTGCGGGCATCCCGCTGGGTCCCCAAAGGCAGGCACTCGAGGCTTCTCAGGTTGAGCTGGGCCAGGGGCAAGGCGGTGGGCCCCTTTAATGTAATTCATGAATTCCCCCTTATTCGGCCGGTTCAGAGTTGGGGGCGGCGGGGAGAAGGAGCCCGCCGTATTTTCAAGTTGGCTTTAGGAGGTGCTTGTTGGGGTGATACCCCGGTGCATGCGGTTTCTTGACACTGGAGACGGCTTCCAGGGCTGCCCAGGGGATGGGCTTTGTGTGGAGTGCTTTGCAGGCTTGCTTATGTCCATTGCGTGTGTGTGTGTGTGTGTGTCAGGAGGGGGAGAAAGAACTGGGGACAGGGGGCCCCACTCAGACTGCCTCTATCCAAGCTCTTCCCTCAGCCCCAAGTGGCATTGCTGGAGCCGACTCACCTCCATGGCAGAGACACTAGGTAAGGTGAGGATCACCTCCCATACCTGCAGCTCCTGAAATGAGCGAAAGATTTGGGGCAGGTTACCTGGGCCCCTTAATGAGACCATTCAGAGCCTGGGGAGGGACCAGCTTTGTGCAGGAAAGGGGCTGGAATGGACAGCTGGATAGAGGCTCCTGGCATCCTCATCTGCAGCTCGGAGTGTGGGTAGTCCCCACACACGCCAGGTCCCTAGAGGCTCTGCAGAGCCCAGCAAATAGCTCATGAGTTTGGCCAGATTATGGCCCTCCTAATGAGAAGCATGCTCCAAAGAGGTCACCTGGTCTCTGAGCCGCCCCTGTGGTCACAGCCTCCTCGATGGCATCGTGCTTTCTCACGGGGGATGCAGCCTAGGGTTGGGGTCATCTCGATGGACTGGTTGGTCAGTAAGGCAGGCAGTGGAAATGCCTCTGACCGTGACTTGAAGGTTGGAAATAGTCTGCCGGTCCTGCTTGGGCTGGGCATCTGCCTCTGGGGAATAATGGCATTGCTGTGAGGTTCTGGGACAGTTCTTGAGGTACGAGGTAGGAGCCTCCGGACCTTCTGCCCTTGCTTAGGATTCTGACTTGGGGCCGTGCTAGGAGCTGCTTCCCTAGACTGCTGAGACCTGAGGTCAGAGGCTGGTGCTTGATGTCCTGGGGAAACCTCATCTCTGGGTCAGAAGACTGAGCTTCAAGACCACTGTCAATGTGCTGTGTGACTTTGGGCAAATCGCTAGACCTCTCTGGGCTCCAGTTGCTCCTTCTGCAAAATGAAGAGATTTCATGTGTCTTCAGAGGTCCCAGTTCAGACACTCGTCAGCCCTGAGCGATCGTCACAGAGGAGATTTTCAAAATCCTGAAATATAGTTTAGTGTTTAAGAGGCATGGGACTCAGATGCATCTGAGTTGGACCAGTCACTTCACCCTCCTAAGCTCAGTGGGCCTCTGTAAGATAGGGAGTTCACAGTTTCTGTTAGGAAGAGTGTTGCGGGGGGGGGGGGGGTGGGGGCACTAACTGAGATGGTGCTTGGAAAGTGCTTAGTGTAGAGTCCGGTGAAGACTGGCTCTCCACGGACATGGGTATGCAGGAGCAGGGCTGTCTGTTTTGTGTGGGAGCATGCGGGTGCTGTTTTCCCCAGGGAGGCGCTCCCTGTCCCACCTGAGTACCAGGTGATCCTGACTGGGGGGCAGGGCCCTTGTTCTCTCCAATCAGCTGACACCTGCCGTCCCCACCCCCTTGCTGCTTCCTCTTAAAAAGCTCTGCTGGGCCAGCAGCTCCGAGAGAGGAGCTCAGGGCGGTCAGGGAGGGCTGGATGCGCCCAGCTGCTGCGTTGCCATGACAACAGAAGGAGGAGGTAAGCTGTCTTCATGGCTCCAACTTTGCGGCTGTGTAGGGACCCAGGGCCGAGAAGTTCAGCGTGTCTGGGTGTCAGGCACCCAGGGTGCTGAGGCTGTTGGAGCAGGCAGAGCTGCTCTTCCATACAGGAACAGCTGTGCTAGGGAAAGCAGGGTGTGGGTGTGGGTGTGTGTGTGTGTGTGTGTGAGTGAGATAAGGCAGAGGGTTGCCGAGATTGTGGGGAAAGGCAGTAGCTTGTGGTCAGTCTTACTTCTTTCTGAGTGCTTCTGAGGCTTGGGATCTCTGTGTCCCTCCCCAAACCAGGTTCCCCTGGGTCCATGCTGAATCCGCGGGGTGGGGGTGGCGGGGAAGGCAGACCTCATCTTGGCTGACGCAGAGTGAGTTACCGGGCGTTACCGGGCGTGCAGGCGGGGACTGGGGCAGAAGCAGTTTGGCCAGGTGCTGGCTCAGTCTGTGGGCCGGACTTCTAGGACTCTGAGGAAATGAACGGTTTGCTCTCTTGGTGGAGTAGGATGTGCGTGTGTGCCGGGGCACGTGCGTAAATGAGTGCATTCTCACGCAGGTCCGTGCACATGTGTTCATAGGAGCCGGACTTACGTAAAAACCTTACGCGTGTGCGCACACATGTGAATAGGGTCAGTCTGGGTGTGCACTTGGGACACTGTGGATTTCTGAGTGTGTGTGTGCGCGCGCTCCCGTGTTTGCGAGGGAACGTGTGCCTGTGTGAGTCAGAGCAACTGTGGGTATGCGTACGCGCTTGCGAGTGTTTGGCAGCTGGCTGAATGTGAGCTGGATGTGTGTCTGTGTCAGGTAGGCGTGTAGTTGCACAGCTGCATCCGTGTGTCCGGGGGGCTCTGCGTGCCACAACCCGTGTCCGAGAGGCTGGGCAGGCCTGTCTGGGCACCTGCTTCCGCAGCTGTGCGAGCCGTCTGCACGTGTCTGTGTGGGCGTGTGTGAGCGCCCGCATGCGCGTGCAACGCCGTGAGCGTGAACTTGTGGTATGTGCTTCCAGCCTCCCTGTTTTTCAGTGTACCTCTGTGCCTGTCTGTGCCCCTGTATGCACAGCATTGCACACTCGCTTGTCTCTGCGTCTGCGCGGGGACCTGTTTGTAACCTCTGCGCGCGTCTCTGTGTCGCTGTGTGTTTCTGGGGGTGTATTCCTGTGTGTACGGCAGGGGGAGCTTTCTGTGCATCTCCGTGTATGTACCTGTGTCTCTGACCACGCGTGCCTGGCTTGTAGCGTTGCACCCTTGATTGTATCTCCTTGTGCGTGTTTCTGAGTATTGGTATCTGGTGTGTTGGTTGCTCTGCACGTTGGAGTGTGTCTCCATGCGTGTGTGTCTCCATGCGCGTGTGTCTCTGAATGTGTGTTTGTGGGGGTTGCAGTGTAACTTTTGTGCACGTCTCCTGTGTGTGAGTGTGTGCGTGAGTGTGTGCGTGAGTGTGTGCGTGAGTGTGTGCATGTGCGCACCTGCAGTATGTTTGCCTGTCTGTGGGGCGGTATGACTTCTGTGCATGTCGCGTGTGTGTGTGTGTTTCTGAGCATGTGCGTCTCTGCGGGTGAGTCTGAGTGTCCATAGAGGTGCAAGCGCGTGTGGGGGGACGTAGGCTGAGAGCTTCCCAACAGAAAACCTCTCTGAACCTTTAAAACCACTCTTCGCCCCACTGCTCGGGTCAGGACTGTGTTCATGCTGTGCCCTCGCCGAGAGTTGATTCGGGGATCTGTGCCAGCTCCAAGCAGGTTGTCGGGATGTTGCATGTGCATTTTTCCAAAAGGGCCTTTGCTCTGAAGCCCGTGGACCCCCTTCCCCGCCCCCAGCTCCCTCAGCACCCGCAGCACCTCAAGCCTCTCTCGCCAAAAGCCTGCGCTCAGGACAGTTGCTGAACAGGCTCACAGATGTTAAGAGCGCAGGTATAATTTTAGGCAGAAGGTCTGAAAATAGGCAGCCTAGGACGTGTTGAACATCTCGACAGCAGTGCTCCTAATTAGGAGCAACTTGTTTTCCTTAAATAAACAAATCAAGTGAGCAAAGAAATTGCCCGAGATTAATGGCTCCCCGGAGCAGGTCCAGATGTTGGGAAGATGGGGACAGGGTCCCCGAGGACTGCAAGTGTTCGTACTCGGGGTCTTTTCTAGATTTTGACCAAATGCTGATGAGCCCGAGGGGCCGAAGAGGAACCTGGTGAGGAGGGCAGGGTCGGTGTGGGCCCCCTTTCCAAGGTGCGGCTAGGGTTTGGGTTATTGGGGTGGAGGCCTCTCTGGCCCTCATTGCTCCCTCCTCCCTGCACCCCTGCTCTCGGCTGTGGGACTTTGCCATTTTTCTCACTCAAGGGGCAGCAGGGTTTATGCCCCTGATCCTCCACTGTGGGTTTGGCCCGGTGATTGGCTTTGGTCTTTAGTGTGAGATGGAAGTGACCTTGGGTTGGTTCCAAACTTCAGTCTCGAGGGGCCCCACCTGTTTCTGCCATGGCTGGGGAAGAGCCCCCTCAGCCTGGCCCCAGAACAAACACGTGTCCAACCACCCTGAGCCCGAACCTCAACACAGAGCCTAGCTCAGCCAAGCCCCTGCCGGCCGCAAATAGGTTAGCGAGAGAAATGCTCCTTATTGTGTGTTCCTGAGGTTTTCTGGTTGTTACGCAGCGTTGTTGTACTTCTGGCTAGCCAGTGCAGTGACCAGAAGTGCACATGTCCTCCCGTTTGGCCCGGGTGTTCATTCAGAGCTGCCTAATGAACACCTGTACTTCTCAGCATGGGGATATCCCCCGTCCCTACCTTGCTTTCTGCTCATCCCAACGTCAGCAGTGATGATGATGATCATGTGTATATGTTTTTGGAGGGCTTACCAAACTCCATGCCTCATGCCTTGGAGGCAGTTTCTGTTCCTGTCTAACGTTGTAATCTGTGAGGCTCAGAGAGGGGAGCTGG